AGCACTCCTCTATCCAGCTCCTAGATATACTAGCATACCTACAACTAGAAATGTTTTCTTGCCTCTGTTCCAGACTGACTGGAGACCATCAGATGGTAAACTCATCAATGATACTGTTTGCATTTAGAAGCCTGGCAATGAAGCCAGCATGAGTTCAATTCTGGACTTTAAAAAAGTCTGTAGGCAAAGGGTTTTTTTGTTCCTAGGTGTAGTGTTGAGAGTGCTAGTATCTATAGCACTAATAAGCTACTGCTAATATATGCTACTGAAGATTTCATTGAAAAAAGCACAACCAAAGACATGTTATATCCCAACACTTTATAGTCTCTTGCACACAGGGAGTTGGGGAGTACTCTCCTGTTCAATATCAGTAGCCTTTAGGTACATATCTAGAGAATTAAAGTATTCATTTACATTATGCTATAACCTCCACATTGGATCTAAAAATCAGTTTATGAAAATGGATATTGAAGATATTCATGTACTTGCTTAATTGCAATACCACATACAAGCAATTTCCTAGAACACTATTAGAAATGTGGGAGTCCATTAGGTTGTCTAATGTTGCTCAGGTTGCAACAACCAAGTACATAATGTAAAACTTCATTCTGGGGGAAAGTGCACTGGGGCAGGATGCATTTTATATGTTTGCCTCACTAGCCATGCAAGGTTGACACTGAACACCCTCCCCCCCGGCTTTTGGAGCCACTACTGAAACAGAGATAGGTGGCGAGAGTGGCCCTGGATCACAAACTCAGAAGGAAGCAGATACTGCAAAAAAAGGAAAGGAGAATGTGTCTGTGTGTATAAAAATATTTAAGGTGTCCTCTCTTGCAATAGAGAGAAGAACAATATCTCAAGCTGGTGTCACTGCTCTATGCTCAATACAAAACCATAGGAATTTTTAATATTTGCTTCCAAATGTGGAGTGCTGGTACCTGAACAGATAAGGTATTTCACATTGCATTGTGTTTCTAATGTCCAATTGCATCATTATGCTTCTCACAGTATTTTTCTTTCCCCCTGGTTTAGTCCTAGACGAGACTTTCAAACCTCAAGGGAATGGGAAACTATGAGGGGAGTGTGCAGCAGGCCTTAAGAAAGGCCAATACATCACCCCATAACATCATCCAGTAGTGAATGGATGGCAATCAATTTACTAGGAGAATTACACACAAGATAAAACAGCTAGGCTTCTACATCTTCTTTTTTTTGTGGAGTGTGATATGCTTGGCCACACAATTCTTAATTCATGCAACAGTACTTCTAGCTTCTGACATAGAAGCATCTGCAAAAAAATAGTAACATACAGGAGAGAAATGCCACTGGCAATAATCCTAGCTCTCAATACCAGCATCAATGTGCTGGCTGCAATTTCTGCTGAAATGGAAGAGGAAACAGATGTGGATGCTGTGGTTAGAGGTGTATGAGCCAAATGCTTAGAGAATAATGCTCACGGGGAGACTACAGTTAATTCATGAGGAAGTCCAAAGGCATCAATAGAGGTGGTTCTACCTTGCACACATTAAATGGAGAGATGAATGATGGCTAACAATCTTCAGGATAACTCATGTGAATCTCCTTTAGGTTTCCAAATGTTTGGGGTGGGGGGAGATGTCCAGCTAAAAGCCCCTAATCCAAATAGATTTTCCAAGGGAAAACCATTTCAACAATTAAACATTTAGCATGCTAAGAAATCCCTGACTATCTTTTCCAAACCTATCAAGATTTTGAGGCCTTCTCAATGTTTTAAGTCTGAACTGCCATTAACCGATCTATTTGCACCACTTGGAAAGAAACTGTCAGATGGCACTGTTAAGAATCTAGTGTTAATTTCTGCAGTCCCACCGATATGTACCTGCAGAATTATACAGCAACAAGGCACTAGCCCAATACTTAGGTACCTGTTGACTCCTGGCTGTGGTACAGTGATGATACTATTCCTCTTCCTTTAGCTGCTCTGTGTGTGGATGAAAAAAGCACTTTCAATTTTGTGGTCCAATATAATTATGGTAAAGTTTTGCCAACTATATTTTATTATCAAAAGAGATATCAATATCACACTGAGCTTCTGTTGTGTGTGGAGTGCAGTATGTCATTTAAACATGCAGGGGAAGAAACATTAAAACTTCTCCCTGGTTTTACTACTATAAATCTCACTGCAAGACCAGTACACCCCCCCCCCGCCTTATGGGCATGAGTAGAGGCAGAGATTTGTTAGCAAGGAGAGTTCCATGACTTGAAGCACCAAATAAGAACATACAGCAGTTTCCCACTGATATACAGGTAGTCCTTGATTTACAACAGTTCATTTAGTGAGTTTTCAAGTTACAATGGCACTGAAAACAGTGACTTATGACCATCTTTCAGAGTTACCACCTTTTTAGCATGCCCATGGTCATGTAATCAAAATTCAAATGCTTCGCAACTGGTTCATTCTTATGACTTTTGCTTTGTCCCAAGGTCATGCAATCACCTTTTGCAACCTTTCGAAAAGCAAAGTCAATGGGGAAGCCAGATTCACATAACAATTGTATTAATAAATCAACTGCAGTGATTCGCTTAACAACTGTTGTAGGAAATGTCGTAAAGTAGAACAAAACTAACTTAACAACAGAAATCTTGGGCTCAATTGTGGTCATAGGTCAAGGACTACCTGTATAATATTGTGAAGCAAAAATTGGAGGGTGGGGCAGAGAGGAATGCATACCATCCAAGTTGTATCCCTTCAATGGGATCATAGCTACGCCTTTTTCAAGAGGATTTACATCTAAGCCTTTCCTCATGCTTAGTGAAGAGATTCTGCTACTGCCTTTCAACTTTCTTCCAGATACACAATTTCATTCAAAGCTAAACAATAAAGACTGCACCAGTACATTACAGTGAAATACGGATTAGATAGCTGTAAGTGATAATCAGTTCCTATGTGATATAAGCATTGATGCAAAAGAGCCAAAAAAGATAATTAAATTCTATCTAGAATAATTGTGAACACTATAAAAGTAGATTTTGATCTAATTATTAAACGTTTGAAAAATATATTTCTAAACCTGTGTTAAGTTCTTTCGCTATAAACATTTTACTTTTATGTGCAATTTTTAGAATTAAGGATAAAGGGCATAAAGAATTATGACAGCATAAGTAAATATAAGGGAATTGTACTAATTAGTAGAATAATTTATAGTGTAGGAATTCAATTTATAAGCAAGCTGGATCATGAACATACCTATATTTTTCACATTACTTCAAAAAATAGTAGCCATTTTATTGATTACCATAACATATAATGGCTCAACCAAATTTCAATTTATAGAGATTCATACTATTACCAAATGATCAAATATGATTATAACAATCTGTCTTTGTAGCAATAAGACTTATATACCGTTTCTTAGTGCTTTGCAGTTCTCTCTAAGCAGTTTACAGAGTCAACATATTGTCTCCAACAATCTGGGTCCTCATTTTACCAACCTTGGAAACATAGAGGCTGAGTTAACCTTAAACTGGTCAGAATTGAACTGCTAACAGGCAGCAGAATTAGCCTGCAATACTGCATTCTAACCACTGCGCCACCAACTGCTCAACAAATCCAAATCTCAATAGCTCTCTAACCGTACATATATTGAACAATGCATTATTTCCTATTATATTAAGAACAATAAAGCACAGAATTACCAAGTTTTAATAATATAGATTCAAATCTATGTGCAACGACAGTTAGCTTGGGAGAGCCGTTCTTTTTCAACCTGATCTACTTCACAAGGATTTTATAAGAAAGTATAATTAGAAACTAAACCATATAAGCTGTCCCATATCTCTAAAAAATAACATGTAAAGGTAGACCTTTACCTTTATTTACATCCACAAATTATTTTCAATCACAAAGAGTTATTCTTGAACATAGACCACTCTGTTTGAGAAAATTTTGTTTCCAATACTTTTGATCCTGTTTATAAACACACAGAACCTTCACCAAAATACAACTGATTTTTTTTCTTCTATTCATTTATGTCAGATTCTTGAAGATTGTTTGTACAATTCCCTGCAGTTCTTTTGGCAATTTCTCAGAAGTGGTTTGCCATTGTTTCCTTCCTAGGGCTGAGAAAAAGTGATTGGCCCAAGGTCATCCAGCCAGTTACATGCCCAAGACAGAACTAGAACTGTCTCCTACTTGGTGCTTTAACCATTACATCAAACTTGCTCTCCCTTTATTAATTAGGCCATCCTTTACTATTTAACAAGTCTCATCTTAAACTCTACACTAGCAAACGCCAGATTAAGAATACTGAGTGTAACCCATATTCATCTATTCATTTGATCCTCCAGTTAAGAAATAAACAAAAAAAGTATCTTTTTAATACAAACTTCTCTCAAGGGAACACGTTACTGGTCCCTTTTAGAGCCCAAACTTTAAATACATTTCTCTGTCAATGTTTACCAGACGTCTGTAAGTATTACAGAACTTTGCAGGAGGGACGTGACAGGATACAAGAACTAGGGGAGAATATGGATGAACGCCTCAATTCTTCTGTTTAGAAACAGTGTCACTTTGGAGACAGGAGATGACACAGGGAGCAAAAAGGTGAGACAGAAATGCCTAATGAGTCAATGCTTTGGCAGACTCCCTTAGGCGCTTCTGACAAGACAAGTTGGGAGTGGGGAAACGAAACAAACGAGGGACAAGAAGAGCTTTACAAGCAACCAAAGGGTAAGGAAGGAAGAAAACTCTGCCCAAAGCAGTTTATCCAAAAGCCACAACTACCTTCCCTTCGCTAAGCAGGTCGGAAAGAACAACCCCAATTCCATCACAACTTCCCCTCCATACGCAAAGGTCACGGAGGAAGCAGGGGGGAAAAGGGAGGGGTCGCAGACCCGCCTCGGTGGAGGCTCCAGAACGCGAGGCCCTCGCGCAGCTCAAGGGCCCGCGGCGGCCTGAACGAAGCGAGGAGGGGTCTCTTCACCCCGCCGCTTTCCTCCTTCCCGGCCGGCTCTTCCTTTACCTTCTGGGAGTTGCTCTGCTGCAGCACATTCTGCTCCACGGTCATGGCCCTTTTCCCAGCTTCGGCTTCCCTCCCTGCCGGCCTAAGGGACTGACGACGACGACGACGAAGAAAAGGAAGGGGCGCTGGCGAGGAAAGGCTGAGAGAACCAGAGTGAGCGCCAGGCCTGAGCGGACCCAAGAGGAAAAGGAGGAGGGCTAGGAGGCCGCCGCTGAGTCAACGCAGCCGTGACGTGACGCGCCGCCCAAATAGCAACAACCCCGGGGAAGAGCAGCGCGCTTTTGGGCCGGCCCTACGCCTGCTGAGAGGAAGGCGCGCCCACGGCGTCGCGGCCTCAACCAAACCAGGCCGGCTCTGCAATGGGAGTTTCGGCTCCTCCCATCTCGCCGTTGTTTCTCTTCATTACGTCTTAGAGCGCGGTCGTGCACACAGCTCTACTCGGTTAATGAATAATTGAAACTTTATTTAAAAGTAGCAGTGCGTGAATGGATAGCGTAAGGGGTTATGAGCAGTTTCCTTTTAAACAGATATACTAGGAAATTTTATTTATTTGATAAATAACACCCCTCTGCGCTTAGTTTGTACGAGGTTACCCTATTTCCCGCCCCCCTTTTTTTCTGCTACTAAATGCCGTGATAATTTCCTTTCTCCCTTCTTTTTACTCGGCCCGATTATCGGCTCTTTCTTCTCGTTCCTCTTCAAATTCTTTTATTGTAAGGGCGTGTCCACTTTTTAAAAAAATGATAGTTAACCCCTTAGCCGAATTTCCAGAGAACAACACTTTCTTTTCATCACATAAAAGTCGGAGAGGATTATGTGCTTCAGGTAGTCAAAGAACGCTGGATTATTTTGTGTTAACAAAAACATGGCAAGAGAAAGAGGCTGATGAGTGACTATATGGAGATAATGCTGTTCCTCCAAAAGACTTGTTTTGGTTTCTGTAGGGATTCTCCATTAAACCATCCTGTGCAAGCAGATTCAGCCAGCCATTGAGGAACAATTGGAAGATGCAGCCATAATTTGCTTAATTCTTGCTGTTAAAAAGTCACTCAACTTCATACTTATGAGGAACTGAACAATGATCTACTGAATTAATGCACTCGCCTGGTTTTGCTCTACACATTAATTTATAAATTTCCCAAATTGGCTGGCTTGATGTGTCACACTGAGCCACAAAGTTGCCAACCTCAGTATTCTGTGAACTCATGTATAAAGTGTTACATTGTCTCCATAGAAGGCACTAACTGGAGGATGGGACCTAATCTGTTACTCCCAAATCTAAGCATAAGGACCCAAATCACTATTATTTTGTCATCCTAAAGTGAATCATAATTGGATGTAGAGTAAAAGGCAATGTCTACATGCCATAATCACAAGATGGGCCCATAGACATTGAGGTCTGCTGCCTCTGGCGTTTTCATATATAGATAGTTCTTTGCTAACAACCATTTGTTCAGCAATTGTTTAGTTACAATGGCACTGAACAAGTGATATTTACAACCAGTACTTGAAATTTCAGCCATTGGTCACATGATTGCCATTTGCACCTGATCTGTCAGGTTCCCAAATGGAAAGTCAAGGGGAGAGCCAACAGGGAAGTCTTCCCCTTTGTACTGGCACCATAACTCACAGGCCCCTCATGCACCCTCATACATCCTGTAGCAGCCATCCCAAGTCTTGCCATACTTGTTTGATAAGGTCCCCGTTGGGAGAGCGAGTGCATTCAGAGAAGTGTTGTGAGAGTTGTGTTGGAGAACACACAAACCAGCATACAGAG